AAACTATGATTTCATCTACACAATGCAGGTTATGTTCTATCTGAAGACTTGAAAGATTGAATAGAGTATGGGAAGCAAAAATTGAAGGCTTGAAGGATTGAATAGAGTATGGGAAGCAAAAATACATGCAATCCAAATTTCCATAGTGGTGGTATGTTTGAGGGGACTCATACAAGGAGGATTGTCTTGTGGTGGTATGTTTTTAAGTCTTGTATAATTGAATTCAGTATTTTTTGTAGGGTGATATATACTTGCCTTGATTCATTGATGAATTATGGAGGTTAGACGTGATAGCAAAATGGCCTAACATTTAGTAGTTTTTTGTAGGGCCTAACATTTACGTGTAAAATTTTATACGGTTCATTGGATGGATTATGGAAGTTAGATGTTATAGCAAAAGGGTTTATCAGTTTCCTTCTAATGTTTTTGTTAAATTTAGTACAAGGGTGGTTGGATGCACATGGGATGTTCAGAGGTAGCAAATCCAATTTTAGTTCTTACATTAATGACAGAACTGCGAATTTCCAAGAAGGATTGAGCATGTCAGTAGATAAAAAGGGATTTAACCTTTACGAAGGAGCTGCATGAGAAACTCGCACTAAATTTCTTTCCAATCCGATCTTGTCTGCTGAACAGATTGGGGAATGTTTATGTATCCAATTAAATAATTTGGACAAGATTTTAATGATGTTTTCATGTAATGTGTGTGTATGTATGTTTTTAAGACGAAGGAAATTTAATACATACGCGTATAAAGAGAAAAGGTAGTGTATTTTTTTTGGTCCTTCGTGTAAAGTTAAGAGTCAGCGGGATTTGAATAGTCTATGGGCTTTTAGCGGCGGCTTTTTAATTTGCTGACTTATATTTGTTTAACAACGGTTAGCGGTGGTTTTTTCCGTCGCGAAAGGCATTTTACCTTAATTCGTCACGAAAGGTAGGAAAATCGTCGCGAAAAATGAAAAACCGCAGCCAAAACAATTGATTGTCGCATATTCGAAGAAAAATGGTATTTCCTTTCTATTTTCATGTAGACTTTGTTTTACTTCCCCGAAAATGCTACCGAACATTTGGCAAGTCACATAGAGCTGCAATAACGTTCATTTCACCAATGCAACTCAAAATTTCAATAATTGAGAAGCAAGCCACAATTGCATAGTTAAGAGTCATAAACAAATGCTTAATGTGTCACTAGTAAAAAAAAAACCCTTGCGCGACCAAATTTTGCGCGACGAAACACAATTCGTCGCTCAAAGTGACTTTGCGCGACGAAACACAATTCGTCGCTCAAAGTGACTTTGCGCGACGAAAATTAAAATTCGTCGCTAAAAGTCTTAAGCGACTAAATTTTGCGCAACGAAAAACAAATTGTCGCACAAAGTCACTTTGCGCTACAAATCTTTGCGCGACGACAAAACATCGTCCCTCAAAGTAACTTTGCGCGACGAAATAATAAAATTCGGTGCACAAAATCTTGCGCGACGAAGTGTGGTTCGTCTCGCAAAGTCTTTACAAAAATAAACAAAATAAAAAATTATTTTTAAAAATCTTTGGATGACTTTGCGCGACGAAACAATAAAATTCGGTGCATAAAGTCTTGCGCGACGAAGTGTGTTTCGTCTCGCAAAGTCTTTACAAAAATAAATAAAATAATTTTTTTAATAAAAATCTTTGCATGACTTTGCGCGACGAATATATAAACTTCGCCTCGCAAAGTCTTTACAAAAATAAAAACAAAAAAAATAAAAAAATTATTTTGTTAGAAAAATATAATATTTTAAATGTATTATATTTTAAATTGACGATCAAATTGGTTCATTGTATTCAT